AATATTTAAAATACTGGCTCACACACATGATGCTGTTGTGCTTCTCTTCTTACACTGACTGTATGCAAAAACATAACGTGTTTTGGCCAGGCCATTGTCAGAACAAGACAGGGAATAATTACTGCAGCCATTTGTTCTGTTACAGAAGAGATAAAAATAACTCATGAGTCATGACAACAGTGAACACTGTCGAGCCAAACCCTGCATCCTATTTGCCATTTTCTAGCCTCTGCAGAGAAGAAAAGATGTGATTTTGAGCAATGACCTGGCACTATCTTCAGTCCCTGCGCGGTGTTTACACAGCCAGGAGAGCCGGTGTCTGGCACTGCTTTTAACAACGTGCAGACGTGGTTTGGGGGGAGGGTGTCCTGCCTCGGGCTGCGGGAATGGAGTGTTGCTGGATGAAGCTGGGAAGGGTTTGTGCTCATCAGGAGACAGGGCTGCAGGGCAGAGACACAACCTCAGCACTGCTGAGGCACCTCGAGTCCTGTGTCCAGTTCTGGGCCCCCCAGTTCAGGAAGGACATTGAGGTGCTGGAGCGAGTCCAGAGAAGGGCAATGGAGATGGGGAAGGGTCTGGAGTACAAGTCTGATGAGAAGCAGCTGAGGGAGCGGGGGGTCTCAGACTGGGGAAAAGGAGGATATGGGGGAGGGAGCTTATTGCTCTCTACAGTTCCCTGAAAGGAGGTTGTAGCCAGGTGGGGATCATTCTCTTCTCCCAGATAATGAGAGACAGGACAAGAGGCCACAGTCTTAAGCTGCACCAGGGGAGGTTTATGTTGGACATTAGGAAGAAATTCTTCACAAAAAGGGTGATTAGATATGGAAATGGGCTGCCCATCGTAGAATATCCTGAGCTGGAAGGGACGCACAAGGATCATCAAAGTCCAGCACTGCACAAGAATCCCACCATGTGCCTGAGAGCATTGTCCAAATGTTTCTTGAACTCTGGAAAGTTTAGTGCTGTGACCTCTTCCCTGAAGAGGCTGTTCCAGTGCTCGACCACCGTCTGGGTGAAGAACCTTTTTTACAACCTAAATCTCCCCTGACAGAGCCTTATGCCCTTCCCTTCAGTCCTATCACCAGAGAGAAGAAATCAGTGCTTGCCCCTCCACTTCCCCTCGTGAGGAAGCTGTAGAGAGCAATGAGGTCAGCCCTCAGCCTCTTTTTCTCCAGTTTGAAGAAGCCAAGTGACCCCAGCCTCTCCAGACATGGCCATGCCCTGCACAGAGCACCCTGTGACCTGAGGGGAGCAGGCAGCAAGCAGTGAACAGCCCTGGACTCTACACCCAGGCCTGAGGACTGCTCAGGTATTTTTCATTTAACAGTGACTGGATATAAAGTAAACAAAGACAAACCTTGCCACAGCCTCCTGACCTCTTCTTTGAAGTGCTCCCATCTCCCTGGTCTGGGAAGGGGTGAAGAGGAGTTGGGTGCCTTGTTGCTACAGCACAAAATTGGGCAGCTCCTGATCCAGGCACTGCTCAGCAGCAGCGAGTTATAAGGATGAGTGTCTTCCAGTTGTGGCTGTCCCTTCCCTTGTTTTTTGTTGGGCCAAGTTCTCTGTCGAGGAGCTTTGAGCCAGAGATGGCCAAAGACCAAATACATCACCTGAGCCCCATCATCTGTGGGAGTGTGGTGATGCCAGACAGAAGGCATCTGAGGTCAGCCCTGCATGTGTTACATGAGCACAAAAGCATCAGGACTCACTTTTTTTATTTTTTTTTTTTTTTTTTTAATTTCCCTGGCACACATCTCATGTGTCAGGTCGTTCCTTCACACATACACACGTGTGCACTTCATTACTGCTCCTTCTCTCCCTCCCTTCCTCTGCCTTGCCCTGCTTCCCTGCAGTATCCTCCTTCCACCCTGGGGCTTGGAAGCTGCTCTCAGCCTCTGGAAGAAAACTGCTTCCATCTGTGGGTTCTGACAGGCTCCCAGCCACTGAGCAGCTGTTCCTGGGCTTCTGCTCCCTAAACCAGGGTGGGGGAAGGCTGATCCGTGCTGAGCACTGTCTTCTGAAGGGGTTACCTGAGCCTGGGTTTGGAGGCCACCACGTGCCTGAGAGTGCTGTCCAAACACTTCTTGAACTCTGTCAGGCTTGGTGCTGTGACCACTTCCCTGGGGAGCCTGTTCCAGTGCTAGACAGCCTCTGGGTGAAGAACCTTTGCCTAAAATTCAACTTAAACCTCCCCTGACACAGCATCACGCCATTCCCTCGAGTCCTGTCACTGATCATCAGAGAGATCAGCGTCTGCCCCTCCTCTTCCCCTCATGAGGAAGATGCAAACCACTGTGATGTCCTAGGAGGTGCCTCCCAGCCAGCTGGCATCTCTTGACCTCTCCTGGCCAAGCCTTTGTGGTCATCTATTGCTTGGTGCTTCCAGGACATGTGTCTGCCTGGCTCAAGCTTTGCTGTGAACCCTTGTTTTGGCTGATTCAGCAGTTTCTTCAATTACTGTCACAGCCACATCGGCTTGGCCGTGCTCCTGGGATCCCTCGTTCCTGCTGGAAGCAGGGAATGCAGACGGACGTTGGAGCGTTCCCTGGTGATGCACAATCTGCCTCCTGTGGTCACTGGGTAACTGTAAAACTAAATCAGATCCTTGCTGTTAACCAAAAGGCATCTGCAATAAAAGGAAGTTAAACACAGCGCTGGGGGGGGGGTTTTGTTGCTAAAAACACGTTAGGAAAAATGCTAAAAACTCACTAGGAAATTGAATTCACTATTCTATCCCTACCCCCCCCCCCAACCCCAATTAAGTTCACTCCCAGTTTAATGTGATTTAGAATTAGGTGGGATATTTTATGTTGATTGTAGGTTCAAGGACCTCTTTTTTTTTTTTTTCCCCTGGACTTTGGTAGCATTGCCATTATTAACAATGACAGAATAAAATGGCCTCAGGTTGTGCCAGGGGAGGTTTAGATTAGACATTAGGAAAAATTTCTGCACAGAAAGGGTGGTCAAACATTGGAACAGGCAGCCCAGGGAAGTGGTGGAGTCACCATCCCTGCAAGTGTTCAAAAACGTGTGGACATGGTACTTAGGGATATATGGTTGTGGTGCTGCATTGATGGCTGAACTTTATGATCTCAGAGGTTTTTACCGACCTTAACGATCCTATGATTCCATAAAATCCACAGGATGGGCTATAGCAAGCATGACATACATAAACCACCATTCTTTCCCTGCTGTACAATCCTTCCACGAGGTAGAGGATGGCCAGCTACTCCCACCTTCCTGTCTAGAGACCAGGCAGGAGGCCAGAGCCAAAAAATTCCTCCTTCACCAGAATTTGGATGCTGTCCAAGCAACACAGTGATGCCGGATGGTTGATCTCTGGGGCTGGCAAAAGTTTCACCGAGGGTTTGGACCTTCAAATCCATGACAGGGCTGAAGGTTTGGCATCATCCCCAGAAAGGCACTTTATCATAGTGAAATGACACGCTTGTGTCACTAAACATCTGCCAGAACAGGGACAGAAACTGGTCAGGGCCCTCTAAAGCAATGACTGGTCATTTAATGGGGTGAAAACACCCCATGGGGTGAGGGAGCAGTGCAGGGTTGGGGCTCTCCTGGCCTGTAGGGTTTGTGCTCTGCTCCAGGTTACGTCTGCAAGACTTTTGTTTGGCTCCCTAAGGAAGAGCTTCAGCCCTGACACAGCCAGGAATGGTGAGGCTTCTCCTCTCCTCCCCTGGTAACCTGGTCCTTTCTCCATCAGTGGCTACACAGGTGGGTGACCCTGCAGGACTCAGCTTGGCCAGGGCTGCAGGTGGTGCTTGGGTGAATCCTGTTGGGACGCTGGTCACAGGTGCCAGGAGAAAAACCACAGAGCTGTTATGTGGTAATGAGGCAGGTTTATGCAACACCAGAAAGCCCAGGACTGGGTTTAGACATGTGAAGATGCACCACAAAGCAACACCCTTGGGATTCAGCCCACAGTGCTGAGACCTGAAAAATTCCACCTCTCCCATTTCCCAAGTCACCAGTTGGGTATCAGAGCCATATTCAGCTCATCAATACTGGTGGAAGATAAGCAGGCTGGCTGTGAAAGTTCTGTGCTCAGAGTTCCTTCCCTCCACACCAAGAGAGTGATCTTGAAGCACTTTGGATCCACTGAGAGCTGGGGAACATTAGTATTTGAAGAACATTCTCTACTTCCACCAAACTACTGTTCCTAATTCTGTCTTGTTTTCCTCTGAACTTGAAGCAAGATGACAAAAATTGTCTCTTTACAACTAAAGCAGCAGGAATACAGGGAATGAAAACCCTTGAGGTCAGTGTTGGAGCCAGGATGAGCTCAGGATGTAGAAGCAGCAGAGTTCTTCTGTAGAGAATATCTTTGAATAAATAGAAAAGGGAAATGAAAGTCTAGTTTCAGAGTTCAGGACTTTGTGAATATCTGTGTTCTGCACCTATATGGTCTAATGAAAGACCCTACCCGTTCCCAGACCTTTGGAAGTGCTTGGGAGGAGCAATGATCAAGAATGGACAAGCCTGTTCTGTGCTAGAGATCAATCTGGTTTAGTCATAACTAAGGAAAAAAAAAATGGGAGGACACAGTCTGTGGAATAATTTAATTTCTATTTCTAGTTATTTTATGGTCTGCCATCCAGCTTAATTAATGTGGCCAATAAACTCACTCTTTTTGTAAAGTCCAGTTACAGTGATGGTCCTGCCCAGGTCTTAAGATAATTCATGAACAATAATAGATAAGAGACAGCTTTGAAATCAATGCTTTACACAAGGGCCAGATATTACAAAGATCAGTGCAATAATTAGGGTTTTTTTTAAAATAAATATATCATACAGTTGAATTACTCCAGAGGTGCCTTTGTGTCTGAGGTTCAACCAGTGGATTCAGTTCTTTTAATCAGAATTAGTTCTGGAATAGATTTTGCTGGCTATAGAGCTAAAAATGTAATCCTGGCTGGCTCATTCAGCTTTATTAAGCATCTATGACTATTTTTCAAAAGAGGATCTCTTTCTTCTCTTGACAGAAAGGCTCATCAAATACAGACAGAAGAGGAGAGGGAAGGAAATCTCAGTTCCATTGAAGCTGCAGCCAAATCTCCCATCAGTTCCTCTGGGGCCACAATCTCACCTAAGCTGCATAACACGCTTTAAAATGCTACTGGCCTGATAATTACACAAAATAGAGCCCACATTTCTGTTTCAGGACAGAGAAGAGGGGAACCTAACACACATTTGTCTGATCCTATGAGGCATTTACCAGTAGCATGTACTTGGCACAAGATCTGATATATGAACTGAATAAATAATAAAATAGTCTGTGTTTCCTCGTGTCGCAATTCGTAAATGCTTTCAATGCACATAAATGATCTTAAAAGAGGCACTTGCATTTCCTTTGAGGAATCTGTGAGGAATCCAGATACATCAGAACCCCGGTTGTAACTTGGAAACCTGAAAGTGATGTAATGAGGCAGACCCTGTCTAACTTGATAAGTGAAAAACCTCACTTAGAGTTGAAAGCAAGATTTTTCTAACCCTGACACTAAGGCATCTCTCAATAAATTATAATAAACCCAGACAACACCCCCCAACAACTGGCAAACAATCAAACCCACTATGAGTAATCACACCAGCAGCAGAAGTGACGCTGTAAAACTGCTCATACCCACTCCTTTACCTTTTCACCTACGGTGTGCACCAGTTGTGCCTGAGGCAGCAGGAGTTGGTTAAAGCCACCTCATTTAAATGCATCAAAACGTTAATGAGGCTTGCTGCAGAGGAGATGACTTATCTAAGGGCCTGCATGCAACCAGAGAAGTGAAGGTCCTTTTTTATCCACTGCTGCTCCCCTTTCCTTCAACATTATTAAAGTCCTGATTCAGCAAAGTGTTTGGAGCTCATGCTGCACTTTTAAATTAAGAGTGAGACAACTGTGTGCTCTTAGTGGAGATATAAGGATGGATTGACTTAGATATATGTCAAAGCCTTTTCCAGAGCCTGATCTCATTTCTGATGTCCATGCAAGTCTTCAAGACCAGCAGACCCAGGTATTTTGTATTTGTAAGGAAAGGTACAAGCTGGAGCCCTAGAAAGGTAGAGAGCACAGGTCTGGAACCAGTTATGAGGACACTTTGCCTTCAGATGAGTTTCTGGCTCTTTTTCAGTGCACATTTCACTCAGTTAGGAAAGTGGGGGAAATGCTATTTGATATTTCACTTTTAAATCCTGCTTGGAAGACAGGTGTTGCTTTGAACCCACATTACGGAAGATAACTGCAAGCTGGATTCTGAGATGAATGTGAGGCAGATTAAGTCCAGACCACAATAATCTCTTTTCTCCAGCAGCATCACTGTCCGGGGATACTGAAGGCAAGCCAAAGTTCACACACTGGTTTATGATACTGTTAGCTAGTTTGCAGCCAAAACAAAAAGTTCAGACATGGGTTTTGATGCATTTTATGTAGAAATCAATGTTCAGGCCATGATCACAAAGAACAATGAATCTCCAGCATTTTCATCAGAGGCTCAGATCCAGTTGAGTTGGTTAGAGGAGCTAATTGTGGGTAGTTGCCTCATGTCAGCTACTGGCCTTGAAGCCCTGCAGCCTGTGTTTCTCACTCACTCTAGACAGACAATGAAGTGTGACATCCTCTGACAGAGGCAATCATAGAATCATTAAGGTTGGAAAAGACCTCTAAGATCATCGACTCTAAGGATTAACCCAGCACTGCCAAGTCCACCACTAATCCATGTTTCTGAGCACCACAGCTGCATGTTTTTTGAACACTATCAGGGGTGGTGACTCCTTGGGCTCAGTGTTCCAGTGCCTGACAACCTTTTGTGAAGAAATTTTTCCTCACATCCTATCTAAACCTCCCTTAGTGCAATTTGAGGCCATTTCCTCTTGTCATATCACTTGTAACCTGGGAGAAGAGACTGACCACCACCTGGCTACAACCTCCTGTCAGGGAGCTGTAGAGAGCAATAAGATCCCCCAGATCCTCCTTTTCTCCAGGCTGAGCCCCTCCAGCTCCCTCAGCTGCTCCTCATCAGACTCGTGCTCCAGACCCTTCCCCAGCTCCATTGCCCTTCTCTGGACACGCTGTTCTGCCCCACTTCCACCTTCATTTGCACTTCTTACCTTGATTATGACTGGGGTTGATCAAGGGAAGCCAGTTGATGTAATCTTTTTGGATTTCAGTAAAGTTTTCAATACTGTCTCTCACAGGATCACACAGCTGGATAAACACATCATGTGGTGGGTGAGCAATTGGCTCATGGGTCGAGCACAGAGGGTAATAGTGAATGGGGTAACATCAAACTGGTGACCTGTCACTAGTGGGGTACAGCAGGGCTCCATCTTAGGCCCTGTGCTCTGCAACATCTTCATAAATGACCGGGATGCAGGACTGGAAGGGACACTGAGCAAGTTTGCAGGTGACACAAAACTGGGAGGAGCTGTTAACTCCCTGGAAGGCAGGGAGGCCCTGCAGAGGGACCTCAACAAACATACAGACTGGGAGTGAGATGCTGGAAAGCAGTGCCAAACAGAGGGACATGGGGGTCCTGGTTGAGGACAAGTTGAATCTACATCCACTGCCCTGGCAGCCAGGAGGGCCAACTGTGTCCTGGGGGGCATCAGGCAAAGCATCACCAGCTGGTCAAGGGAGGGGATTGTCCTGCTCTGCTCTGACCTGGGGTGGCCTCGCATTGAATATTGTGACAGTTTTGGGCACTGCAATATAAGAATGATATTAAACCATTAGAAACTGTCCAAAGGAGGGCAATGAAGATGGTGAAGGGCCCTGAGGGGAAGGCGTGTGAGGAGCAGCTGAGGTCACTTGGTCTGTTCAGATGGAGGAGACTGAGAGGAGACCTCACTGCAGTTACAACTTCCTCGTGAGGGGACTAGGAGGGGCAGGCACTGATCTCTTCTCTGTGGTCACCAGTGACAGGATCCAAGGGAATGGCCTGAAGTTGTGTCAGGGGAGGTTTAGGCTGAATATTAGAAAAAGGTTCTTCACCCAGTGGGTATTTGGGCACTGGAACAACCTCCCCATGGAAGTGGTCATGGCACAAAACCTGCCAAAGTTCAAGAAGCATTTGGATGATACTCTCAGGCACAGAGTGTGACTCTTGGGGATGGTCCTGCGCAAGGCTAAGAGTTGGACTCGGTGATCCTTGTGGGTTCCTTCCAACTCGGCATACTCTGTGATTCTGTGAGATCTGGCCCAGCTCGTGTCTGTTCTGTGCAGGGGATTGGACAATCAAGCTGCATTAACATATATTGAACCAAATGTGCTGCCCCAGCAAACAACAGTGCACAACCAGAATAAGCAGCAATGGGTGCTGACAAGATGCTCCCTCTTGTCTCTGCTTAAGGCAGCATGAGAACTCTGGTGTGTTCTGGCCATCCCTGGCTGCAGTGACTAATTACAGTGTTACACAGTTCTTATTCCTCTGGAGATTTGCCATCTTTGGAAGAGCTGGCTCCAGCTCTGCTGGATTTCTCACAGGGAACCTCCTGTGCCTTACAGGAGTCTCCCCCTTGCCTCTAGCTCATGATTCCTGTTATCTGCCGGGTATGGATGAGACACCCAGCTGTTATAACTTAGCCCTGCTGTCCCCTTGACTTTCCCAGGTACCTGAATCCAAACCCATTGAAGTAAATGACAGTCTTATCAACTCTGTGGACTTTGAAGCAGGCTCCAGCTATGGGATTGATCCAATATGTAAATGCCAAGTCTGATTCCAGGAAGGGAGGAAAATCATCAGCTGAAATTATTTAAAGGCTTGCAGATATATCTTGGCATGCTAAATGGAAATGAATTTCTCAGGGAGAATGTTAAATAATTCTCAAAATAATTGTTAACACACACAGCACAACCCCCACCCCACCTCTGTCAGTCAGTCATGGTTGGGTTTACCTACTTTGCAACGTTTACGGTTATACTTACTATTGTTTTGGAAAGAAAGACCAAATCAGTGGCTGGCTTCAGAAATTTAAAATAAAAATTTGGTGTCAAGGTGTGCTGGTCACTCTTGTGTCCACCAAACATCTGTATACAATTGTGAAGCAATTTAGAAAGAGATTCAGGAAGCGCTGTTTGGGACACAAACTGGGCCTGAGCCTAAGAAATAGATCTGGCAAGCCCAAGCTCCATCATCACCTGTGGCTGGAAGCACTGACATCTACCAGCATTCAAATTTGGCTGAACAGATTTTCTAAGCAGTCCAGTTTAAGCTACCACACCTGAACTTCTTCATCTTGAGATGTTCTAGCCAGGCTCTGCAGCTCCGTTCACATCCCTCTGGATCCAGCAGTCACAAGCGCAGAGCACCCAGTGTGAAGTTTTTGGGGTAATTTCAGCTGATCTAGGACTGGCTGCCCTAGAGCAGCTCAGAGCAGGTAAAAGCATAAAGCAGGGCACAACCAGGCTTAAAGTTAAGGCAGGAGACTTCATTAGTGTTCTGTCATTATTGAGATGGACAGAAACCTCAGGATTGAAACTCTGACTAAAGACAGGGAAAACTGTGAACTTGTTTAAGTGTTGTGAAAACAAACTGAACTGCAGAAAACACTGAGCAAACCTCCTGCGGGTACCTCTCAAACATAACCACCTCATTATCTGCTCTTTTGCACGCCACAGATCCATGCCTGCTGCAATTAATGACTGGTTAATTGCATGCATTGAAAAGTCTTTTGTGATTGATCAGTCCCTATGAATTTGCCATTAAAACTATTTTTTAGGGCCAAATGTTTGAGTACCTGTCTAGCTCCCATCCCAAGCTGTCAAAAATACAGGAAACATCAAAGAGGCTCTGCTGCAGCCCTAAAAAGAAAGGAAATAATTGTAGTTGTGGTATTGGTAAACCTACAAGGGTTTTCTGTTAATATCTCCAGCTACCACACAACCACAAGAACTGTCATGATATGCCATGATTTTTCCTTTTGGATATAACCATCCAAGCTAAAATACCCCATATGCTACAAGATTGATGCTTAATACTTCGTTCCAGATGTGCTCTGGCTTAGTTAAATACTTAACACATTTCTAGAAGTATGTAGTCTATAATTGCATTTATACTTCAGAAGAATGATGTCCTGGTGAGTAAAGGGAAAAATATTCCAAGGCTGGCTGTGTACCTACCCCTGCCAGTGACCAGCAGAATTCAGACAGGTTGCATTAAAAAAAATATGATTATCATTGGTCACAACGGATGGCACTGGAACAGCTACACAGCCACAGCCCTGACAGTGTCCCCCAGCAAAGTGACACTCCAATCTGGTAAAACTGCAAACAGCAAAATCCTCATTTAAATTCAAA